TTGACAGGCCAAGGGCAGTGTAACTGCTAGTAATTTTTCTTTTATAAATTAAGCCGTTTTTAAGTATTTTATTAGGTTATTAGTTCAAAAAAAAAAATACTTACCCTGTCACCTTCCAAAAACTTAACAGATCAGCATATTCTTGCCTCTTCGCTCTTTCATGCAAATTTAGTGGGTTTTTCAAAACGCGGCGAGTCTCTTCTGATTATTTAAGAAAATTCAAGGACAAGAAGCTTATTCACTATGATAATCTCAGCGACCTTGATAACTTCTTTTAGTTCCGTTATTTCTTAACGGAACTATAAGAATGCTACTGGCTACAAGTCGTAGCTTCAAGATGAAGTCGAGATTTATGATTCCATTTTTCATTTTTTCCTAGAAAGAAGCGCGAATTAATGGATTGGGCAAAACACTTGCTATTTTCCCGCTCTCTCCGGCTTTTGCGAAAATGCTTGTTATGGCCAATCAGCATTCGCTGCTGGCTTATACTTGTTGCCTTGTTGCTGCACTTTCGGTGCGTGAACCATTGATACCACTGTACTCGATAAGGTAAATTTTCTTATTCTTTTCCCTGTTACTCTTAATTTTTTGTAATTTTTTAGTGTTAGAGGAAATAACCGTCTTTTTTGCAGGGGTGAAAACCCTCAGCAAACACAAACGCTTATGCTGGAATCGTTGAAGCAGCGATTCTCATTCTGCCCTCTTGGACAAGCTCGTAATTTCGGTGATCTTGCCGTACTTATGCGAGTTGTTTTGGCTGCCGAAGCAGCAAAAGTTAGTAATTTGTTGTCGGCAAAAAAATTAACTTTTTTATTTTAATTTGCATATCAGAAAGGTATTATGTATTATTAGATATGGGAAAAAAGGGAGGCAGAACTCCATCAGGCAAATATCTCGGGTTGCGGGGATTTGCTGTAGCTGCGAGCGACGTATAGTGTTTTTCTTCGAAAGAGAAGAAATGTAGCTGTGTGGATTGATTTGTGGGTTATGTATGTGAGCGTACTTTCTTACTATTGGCGCCTCGCTAATTTTTAATTTTTTAGTTCTTCAGTCTTAGGTTTTGGTGGGCTTTTTTGTTTTTTATTTTCCTTCTTTAGCACATAGGTTACGAAATTGTTCATGGGTTAAGCTTTTTTCCATGTGTTTTTATGTGTTTTTCCTGGCTCTTATTATTTGTGCGGGGCTTTCTTTATCCAGTAAAGTTACATATTCAGGGTTCGGAAGAAGAATGTAGGCGCTTAGGAATTCGTCCAAAAGCACTTATTGAAATTCGAAAATTGCGACAACAGTTAACCAAAATAATAAATACGAAATGTATGCAACAGCAGAAGCCGCTTGAATTATGTTTGGATTTAAAGTCACCATCGGATCATGAATTTTCGATGTTGAGGTAATCAGAGAGTTAAAGAAGAAATTAAAAAAATTTGTCCTCAAGAAATTCGATGTCTTTTTGACGCGGAGTTACTTTCGTAACCAGTTTTATATAAAAAACTTTGGCTATTTTTACTTATTTTTGGTTTGAGATGCTTTTTTTATGCTTTTAACCTCGTTTTTCTGGACTGTTTAGATGTTGGGAATAATTTCATTGTTTTTTGCAGACAGATTTTAACAGCTTCATTGACGGATAATATTGCTCGACGAGTGGATCCTGTAACGGTCGAGAGTGCACCGAAAGGTGCATACGAATGTCAAAAATTAAAGGTAACCAGGCTTTTCCACTTTTGCAATGCTACTGAATTTTTTGTTTGTGTATGATTTCTATGGACAGTCGGAATGTATACAGCTTGCCATGATTATCAGTTTTTGCTTCCTCGTGCGAGCACAGTGATATCGTTCAAGCCGTTCACGGAGAAAAGCTTTAACGAATAGTTGGCCATATGCCAATTTTTCTGACGGTACCCTCATGTCGGT